CCCCCCCCCCCCCCCCGCAGGCTCGGGCACAACCGGTATCTAATTTTATCATTTTTTAAATTACTGGTTCAGTGAACCGGTAAATCCCACCCCTGGCTGGCCTTGTCCTCCCCTCCCCTCCCCGCCCCTCCCCGGAGTCTTCACGGGGGCCATTTTGGATGCCAGGTAAGTGCAGGGCTCGGGGAGGGCGAAAACACCCCCCCCTTTCCCCATTTGTGGTGCAGGAGGTCAAGTAGGCCACGTCCATTATGGGCACACCCGCCCAGCAACCGGGCAGAGAACCTGTTGCTAAATTTTTTGTAGCTCACTCCTGTCTGGAACATCCTCAACTAGGAAATTCCAGAGGATACGTCCTTTCTCACCTAATCTGGGGAAAAACAGTGTGTGTGTGTGTGTGATAGCAATTCAACAGGGCTCTTTTCAACTAAGATGTGACAGGGGGCGCCCGCGATGCAGGTAGCCCTTAACCTACGCCCAAAATTGAGCCCATCGTTTCTGTGGCCAAGTCAGACATTTGGGAAGTGAAGCTTGCCGCGATTTTACCACCACATTTGTGACGTCAAATCACTGCAGTTGTTAAGTTAGTAACACGGTTGGTCAGGGAACCTGGCTTCCCCGTTGATTTTGTGGACCTTGGGCGAAGGGGGATGGTTCTGTGGGAGCGGTGGGCGAAGGCGCGCCTGCGGTTCCCTTGGCGCAAGTGGGGGGAGGGGCACACGCGCCCACACCGCTTGCAGAAACGGAGCTGCTCATACTTACTCGCCTGCCCGCTTCTCGCGCAAACGGAGCTGCGCGCGCTCACTGCCCACCGCTTCCGCGCCCCGGGAGTGAGCCGCAGCCCGAAGGTTGGGGACCCCTGCTGTAGGACCCCACCGCTATGGAGATGAAGATCGACCCACGTACACACACACGCTTTCACACTCTTTTGCAAAAGCTGTGAAGACGTGGTTGTGCCAGTGGGCCCCCCGAGTGGGACGAAGCCCAACTGGTGGGTCATTTAAAGTGTTGTCAGTAAAGGTTGGGGGGGAGTTATTGCTTTTTTATTGTTCTTGCATTGGGCTTTTATCCTTGCAAGACGCCCTGAGTCGTTAAATTGGGCAGCCATACAAATTTCCGCATAAATAAACAAACAAACAAATAAATACATACATACATACTGCCACCTGGTGCCAAGTGATCTTGGGAAAAAAGTAAAATTAAATTAAATAATAAAATAAAAATAAAATGGAAATAAAATAAAATAAAATGCTGTCACCTAGTGCCAAATGATCTTGGAAAAATAAAAATAAATAAAATAAAATAAATAGAATACAGAATAAAATAGGAATGAGAAATGAAATGAAATGAAACGAAATAAGTAGAATAGAAATGAAACATGAAATGAAATAAAGTGAAAATAAAATAAATGCTACCACCTGTTGCCAAGTGATCTTGGGGGGGGGGGGGGGGTAAAAAAAAAAAAAAAAATAAATGCTACCACCTGTTGCCAAATGATCCTGGGAGAAAAAGAAGGACTGTAGATCTCCACTAAGGATCTATTTGAAGGAGACACGAAGCCTCCGGATTAGACCGCCATGATTTCTGGAGGCCTTAAATGGCTGCTCTTGTCTTAGCCGCCCACCCCCCCACCCCTCCCTTTGGCTCTACAAGTTTAACTCAGGTCAATCAACGGGAGGATTTTGACTTTGCCTCCCCCACCCCTTCCACTTTCAAGACAGAATTCAATTCTCCCCTTGTGGAAGGGGAGGGGCCTTGCTTGCCAAAAGTGCTTCCCCAAACACCCACAGCCAGCTTGACGGTGGGTCACAAACCTTTTCCTTGGCAGCCAGAGACCGGTTTGGGGTTGGCAGCAATGGGTGCCTGCCTGAAAAGCAAGGAAAGGCCCCACCTGCCACTGTGCCAGTCAAACCAACGTTGGCTACTCCTCGCCACTAGCCCTTGCTGAAAAAGAACAGGATGGGGCTTACTAAGCCTAGGATTGTACGTAACAGAGACGGTATTCCAAGCCCAAGGAGCTGCGGATTCGGTTCTACAGAGGAATGATGGAGTCTGTCCTCTGCACCTCTATACCTGTCTGGTTTGGTTCTGCCACCCAACAAGACAGACACAGACTTCAGAGGATAAATAGGGCTGCAGAAAAAACAATTACTACCAACCTGCCTTCCATCGAGGACCTGTGTACTACACGAGTCAAAAAGCGGGCTGTGAAAATATTTACAGACCCCTCACATCCCGGACATAAACTGTTTCAACCCCTACCCTCAAAACAACTCCATAGAGCCCTGCACACCAGAACAACTAGATACAAGGACCATTTCCCCCCGAAAGCCATCAATCTGCTAAACAACTAATTCCCTCAACACTGTCCAACTATTTACTAAGTCTGCACTACTATTACTATTAATCTTCTCATCACTCCTTATCACCCATTCCCTCTCACTTGTGACTGTATGACCATAACTGTTGATTGTATCCTAATGATTTTTAATGACTGTTTCCTAGTATGATTTGATTGCTTATTGTACCCTATGACTATTATTAAGTGTTGTACCTGATGATTCTTGACTCTTGACGAATGTCTCTTTTCTTTTATGTATACTGAGAATATTTGCACCAAGACAAATTCCATTCCATTCCATTCCATTCCACCTTTCCTTTCCTTTCCTTTCCTTTCCTTTCCTTTCCTTTCCTTTCC